AGTAATCTTTTATAATTTACTAAAAAATTGTTATTTTTGTGTTGATGTATTGTTTCACACGTTTGTATATTGTTGATACAGATATATATATTATTTTGTTACATGTCCGGTACTGAATATAATATTTTCCGGAAATACTTTTTAAGATGTGCAGTTTTCCATGAAATTTTATTTTTATTTTAACACTTAAACATTTATTTATATACTTTTCTTACTAATATTGTTTCTACACTTAATTAACTATGTTCTAATACATTACTGATTCTCATTTTCGATTTCTTTTAATTTTGAGAAAACCTTAGGTGTCTGATACTGGGAACACCCCTTATGTACTATTATAAAAAAAACCATATGCAATACGATTTTTTATTATCGAGTTTCTTTTTTACATTTATTATTTAAATTGTAATTTACTTTCCGCGTATTTGCCATATAGAATAATTAAATAATACCAATGTGTAAATAGATGACGTAAAAGAAGAAGGGAAAAGAAATAATTTAAATATACTTACTGGAAAAGGGAATATTAGCCGGCATTTGAAGTAAGCCAATATCGTCGTCTAACAGCTCTCTGTAGTTCGGGTGTACAAATGCTTGGGTTGTAATCATTGATACACCGGGGCTTGGAAGGAAATCGTATCCTTTATTAGGACTGTCGATTATGCCGAACGCTACAAAAAATGGTCGTGGACCGTGGATTATACAATTACCGGCTGTGAGAACCCATCTGCTATTTATGATCGTTCCATCACATTGCCTGAATAACATGTTGCCCAAAAATTGACTTATTACTGCCATAAATGGAAACTGTCCGATCCTCGCGTAATTTCCGCCTGTTATGCCAATTGAGTTCATTTGTTTATCTGTCGTTCAGAAAAAATGTAACGAAAATAACAAGACAATCATCGTCTTCATAAAAACTTCGGTAAAAATGTTGTCAATTGTATGCGAAAGTCATGCACGCGCCCGCGCGTAAAATGATCTATTTTTTAAATATAAATTATTTAAGTATTCTATTATTATAATCATTAAATTGTGCAAATTACGATGCTGTTATTGGGTTGAATGGAAAGTTTGTTTCGTTTTTTGCTAAGAAATGACATTAATATAAATACAAAAAAGAAATTTACCCTTCAACACAACACTTATATTTAGATTGCATTAAAGAAAAAATCTTTATTTGACGTAAGTAAACTTGCAGCAAATATTCGTAACATCATACATATTAATAAAATCAACCCAAAAATTGGAAATATATATATATGATTTTTGTTTTTTTTTTACTCACCATAATTAGTCCGGTTAAGTTTCGGGCTATTTGAATAATCTAGATTGTTTCTGGAGTTTTCAGATATGCGATTGAACGTAAGGTGATTACTTTGAACGTATTGACATACAATTAAACTGATTAAAAATATCATCGCACTTTTCAGTCCCATGATTGTTCTGCACGCTGTTCCTGCAAATTTCCTCTATCTGTGTTAATTGTACCGATATTCGTATAACTATGCCAGTTAATGAGATTATTAAAGCTCTTGACAACTATTCTGAGAGATGCATAAATTTAAAAATTTCGGAAAACTGCTTGCAAATACATATTGTAATAAAGATATAGCATAAAAGACACTAACATATTTACATTATTTTTTATTTTTTTACAGTTAAAGGAATACGTGTTTTTACAAAAATACATACTTATTTTTTATTGACCATTGTTCAAGCAACGCGGCAAAAATTAGGATTTTTGATTATTTAAATATTCAAATTTGAAACACACAAAAAGCACAAAAAAATTAAGATTCTTTTTTTAACTTAAAAATAATTAATCTTTTTATTATTATCTTTTTACAAATTCTTTCAAATATTACTAATATTTCTCACCTTTGGTCGGTTGTTGGTATTCCAGATGTTACTTGTATAATTTTCGTAATGCTTCAACGTTGCGCCAACGAAACTTTAAAGCAAAATGTTTAAATATTTAAATACTTTTTCAAAAAAAATTTAAATAACGAAAATAACATGTAATCGGATATAATCAATAAATTAGCGTATTGCATGGCAAAATTATCTTGAGCTACTAATTAGTAAGTCAGATTAAAAATATCAAGCTGCATTGTAAAAATTATATAAAATATTAAAACAAACATAGTACAATAAAGGTCTATAGAAGTTAATATGGATGTTGGTGTGTATTAGTTTTTATAATATAATATATTGTATATGTTTATTACTACTTAGCATTTATTCTAGTATTATTAATTAAAATAATAAGCAATTATAAATTGCTTTACATGTTTTAAAATTATATTAAAATTTTATTATATATTTTAATAAAATTTTTATTCAAACCATATTTTACATTTTATTGTCGTAGATATTAATAAATCGCAAAATTCGTTGAAATTATGTTATTCCATAAATATTATGATTTTTAAAGTAAGTTCTAGTAAAAATTTTTTCTCCATGTACCGCTGTGTATCAATCGTAAATTCTTCGTAAATTTTTGTCTTAAATTTTCTTAAAGTAGGTTATAACAACATAAATTAATTTTAATAGATTATTGTTGAAATAATAGTGCAATATGATGAATAATAAATGTTAATATTATATTATACATTTAAAATGAAAAAGAAAAAACTTTGAACATAAAAAGTAATTTTAAATCAATTTTAGAGATTAACGTATTATATTATAGAATTAAAATTAGATATGAATTCATAAATTATTATGACAGGAGAAAAAAACAACTTTGTATTTCTGTCTTTCACATTGTACACTTGTACAGTACACTTTGCATGTATGCTTCAAACCTGAACACGATCGTCATCAGTATCATATATGTATCGAAGAAAAAACTGTTATCTTCTGAAATATCATCGCTAGCACACTTTCACATCAAACATTTGCCACAGTACACCCCCTTCCCCACTCCGCAGCTCTGGGAGACAACAACACGACGACGTTTCTTAACATAAAATAACCACAATTTCGAACTTTACATTATAATTTTATATTACGTAGAAAAAATCACGTAGAGAAAAAATAAAAACACTTTTATGATGTACTCTAACCCAAGGTATTCTAACCCAAGTTATTGATTAAGGCTACTCGAATTTGATCGAGTAGCTTTACCTATTCAACCGTTATTAAGAATTCGAAATCTTCCATGCAATCTTGCAACTCGTCGGCTCGCGTATAGATACATGGAGCGGTCTCGCCCATTACACTTTGGCGTGAGACAATACCGTGCCTTATGATAATGCGCTTAATTCTTCATGACAGTTTGATGTTATGTATAGACTAAAAAATCTGTTTATAATATTACACAATCTAAGATATTCTCTTTTTTACGATATGATCGAGATTTGATAAGTCAGCGACGCGACAGCAAAGTGCCATTAACGAAAAGAGAACGTCTTGTAAAACTCGCGAGAATTATTATTGTATAAAAATAACTTTATTCAACAATAATTCTTTTTACAACTTACTCGCGTATTGTTACACGACTTACATGCAAGTGCTTACTTGTAAGGGACTCGACAAATTGCTGCTGCAGTCGGAGGGTCCTCTATTTATCCGAAAAAATAGAGATAAGATAAAAATTCTTAGGGCTAATGAGTCATTGGAAAATGCTTGAAATTTTTGTTAACCGTTAAAAAAAATATTTGAAATTCTTAGTCGTAGAGAAAACACTTTTAGGTAAAACAATATTAATGAGTTATTGGAATACATAATTTCGAGATATTGCAAGAAATGTGATTTTTTTCATTATGTTCGAGAGCGCATTTGACCGAGTGAAAAGGAATAAAGTTTGGACGTGGAAAAGATAATTCAAAATTTTATCAGCACTTATTTTATTTATTAATCAGACACCATTACGTTTGCACTAAGATAAATTAATTTTCTTTTCGCAGAAGGAGATTTCTTTTAGTACAAAGAAAAAGTAAGCGCGACGAATAAATTTAAGCGGGTTCTCAGCAGCAATTTTGACGAGATATTTTGGCGGTGATAAAAAGAGCGAGTCGGCAGGTGTTAGCATCATTTATCTGTGCGGCAAGACAAAGCCTCTCTCAGCTAATCGCCAGTAGAAATTTTTAACAAATTGAAAATTCTTGTGGCGAATATTTATAATAAAACTTAATGTAAAAGTGTATGTTCAATATACGTAAATTTTCAAATTAAAACATGCTTTAATGAGTTACTTTATTTTAATGTTAAAGTATTACTAATATAACATATATCATAATCTTTGATTTATCATGCCGTAATATTGACTACGTATAATCATATCTGAAACATAGACATAGCC